GGTGGAATGACCCATGTCCACACTATTAATTCTCCAGAGCAGGGTGCCTGTGTCCAAATCACCTCTTAGAAGTGGTACCTGCCCTGTTTCCTCGTGAACTCTGTCCAGAAATTGAGAGTACTCTAGGTAGCTGACCTAGATCAAGACTGTGCCAGGGAACAGGCTAATAACTTCACAGAGTCCATGAACAGTCTAATTTATTATTTAACTTTAATCTACCCCAAGTACCTAAGCAACAGCTTAAATCTTGAAGCTGACCAAGAAGCACGGTAAAAATGGGTCAAGATTACACACTGCCAGACAGTGTTAGGCGAGTTATTGTAATTATTATTTAAAGGAACTTGTTTATAACAATTTAAAAAAATTGCTTCACTTTCACAGTGTTTCTAGTTGACTGGAATATATCGGCATCTTGTCTTTCACTTAAATAGGAATCCATGGACTCCCTCAAATATTCTCATTTTTAAGTCAGTCTGTGGCTCAAAATAGCTTTCCAGAAAGAAGCTAGGAGTATTCTTGATTAAAATGCTGTCTTTATTTTCCATTCTGTTTCAGTAAGCCCTGTGAACAAAATGGCTGCAGAGAGGAAGAGGGAAAAAAAAAACCCAATGTTATGCTGCCTTGGGACCACCCAGCATTCTAGAAAGGAGAGAGCAGAAACTTGCACTCTGCTCCACCAGCCTCCACTGGCCCTGCCTCATCTCTCTACTAATATGTTTTCAGCATCCTGCTCTCTAGGCCATTAACCTCTACCTGTCCAAGAAAGAAGGAATTAGTATACAGGCCTGTGTTGCAGCCCAACAGAGAAAATCCCTCTTACAGGCGATTTAAATTGCAGTTTTCACCACTGGAGAGACCTTTGGCCATAGGCTTTAAGTACAGCACTGAAACAACTGGTGACTAGCTGTAGAAAACTGCAAAATCAGGTCTGGAAAATCAAAATATATTGAAAATTTACCAAACATTCATTGATCAGAGTGATTGTTTCAGTGACCTGGCCAGCAATTATCAAGTCAAAATCCTTGAGGTCACTTAGCATTTATTATTTTTCAATGATTTTTGTAGCTGGAACAGTAACACCTGCAATAGCTAAGGGTGGAGTGCAGCTCCTGTTATGACCTCCTTCATGATCTCATTCAAAGCCCATCAAAGCTGTGAGGGAGTCATTGGCTTCAACTGCCTTTCAGTCAAGTTTAATTGACTACAACTATCTCAAATGAATTCCTTTCATATCAAACTATCCTGTGAAACAGCCTTCATATTTTTTATTGTTTCATCAAAATGCATCAAGCTATTTCCATGCTTGTATCAGTACAATTTCCCCTAGACATTCCAAAGCAAAATTTTATGCATGTATAAGTCAGTAAGAGCCAAATCCATTTTCTTCAAACTCCCCTTATTTTAAATCTAACTGAAATGTAGAGAATGTGATTTGCTTGTCTTAACTTAATTAGCACAGTAATTTTGAGATTATTAGCACTATGCTTTTTTTACCTCTGCTCAATATGTTTTGAATTTAATCTCTTCATTCATAGAAAAATGCTGGGAAACAACGGGTTATTCTAACTTTTAAATAACCAGCAAACTTTTAGCATATATTAGAATAGTACAATACAAAGAGAAAGTGGCAGTGGTTTTTTTATTACTCACAGCTGCTGTTGGCCACATGACATGATAATAATAGCTTTGGCATTTCTATAGAATATTTAGCTTGAAGGAAAAATGTAAAGGTTGTTGATCTGCTCTCTAGCTATTTATGAATTCCATATGCTTATATATGTGTTTAAATACTGTGAGGGATTTACAGTATGAAAATGTGTTTAGTTCTAGGAGCTGCTGACCATCCATGGGCAAGAAGGAATATAATTGCGCTTAGGACATGCAAATGCCATCTGCTTTGATGTTGTACATCTGTGCAATTGTTGAGTTTACCATACTCAGCCCACCTGGGGAGGATATCCCAGGCAGCATAGAGAGGAGAAACAAAACACTGGGAAACTCAGTCAGAGAAATTCTGAAGGAGACAAGGAATGGGATTAAAAGAGAGGAACTTGTTGGGAAAACTAATAAAGAAATGCCCTCCAAGTTCTCTGCTGAAGGATGGCAAACTTCTAGATAAGGTATGTGTATTAAACCTACTGCATTCAAAACCTTTCAATATTGTGTTTTAATAGATTAAACTGTGCTATGGTGGTAAGAAGGCTACCACATAACAGCTTCCAGAACAATGGCTATTCAGCCTAAAAGGACCTTGTGGTATATGGCTGACAAGTGCACAGGTTACTGCGATCTAGGATCTAGTCTAAGGCTGGGAAAATTATAGCCTTCCTCTCAGGGAGGGACGAGGTGTGCTCAGATGGAGCAGAGGACCGGGCAAAGGAATAATTAATCCTAAAAACACAACCCAAGATAGGGCCATGGGTGTTCAGGATGAGAGGCTGGAAATTCCACCTTCTGTTCGTATGGACAATCTCTCATGGTATTGAAAGTTTGTGGTGTATGCACCTGTAGTATTTGAAAAAAGGAAATGCTTCGTTTTGATGTTTTCAATCAGAACATTTCATTTCTTACCTGTTCCCAAGTGAGAACATTTTGATTTTTTGAAGGGCCCCAAACCACTTGAGCTAGCTTAGCATTCCTTTACATCTTTGGGTGACGTGGGTAGTCCTGTAGCTTGGGTGTTGCCAGCTCACATTCTCCACTGCTGTTTTGGGTACCTGACCAAGTTACTTTGCAGCCCCTTGTGCTTAGCCCTTAGTCTGTTGGCTCTCATGGGTCACCACAAAGCCTAGTCAGAGGGAAGACTTCTTCGCAATGCAGGGAGCGTGGTCTGGCCAAGGAGGTCCACCTATATTAAAAACTTTCATAAAGAAAAGTGATATTTCTGGGAAAGCAGAATAATGCTGAGTGGAGTCAGCAAAAGTCATTTGGGTAGTTCAATAAACCAAAAGGTACTAAAAACACTGAAGCAGTTAAAATTATTTTTTTATTTGTTTGTTTCACTGATGGAGAATTGAAGTCTTTCATGACATAAAAATCCTGTGAAAGAGCATTTAAACAGACTAGAAATAACCAGCCCTACTTAAAAACAAGTTGCCTTAGATTATACAGGAGACGATATAGTAGGCTCGCATGTAATTCACCAGACCACAGCACATCCCAGGAAAGTCATTAAGTCTGAATCCTGTTTCCGTGGAAGTTGATAGCAAAACTCCCACTGATTTTACTAGCAGCAAAAGTTCACCTCTAGGATTTTTTACATTCCTATGAGGATGAACAAACTCCATTGTTTTAACTGTGAAAAAGCAGGACCACACCAGCGCAAGCAAAGCTTTTCTGTGAAAGTTCTGCTACTCCTAAGAAGGAGTCAAGTGATTTAGCATGCTGATGTGTATTGTTCTAAATGCATTATATGGTTAATATGAAAAAAAATAGATAGAATGAACAGATCTTATTGTTCACCTCTTCTGAAGTGTTCATTGTAATTATTTCTTCACCCATATTCCAGGCAAAAGAATGTTCATCTTCTTTTACGTTTTGTTTCTCAGGCTCCTATGACACCTAATGAAAATCTTTTGCAGAAGATGCACGCAGACTAGTGCTTTTCTTGTTCTGAGTAAATGGCCAGCCTAAAATTTTTGTTAAACAACACTTACTCTGGAAGGTAAGCCAGGGCTTTACCGCTGACATAAATAAGAGATTTCTCTGAAATTATCTGCATGCTTAAAGAAAGCCATACTTAAATTTTTGCTTTTGTCTGAGTTTTCCCTTTCCATATAACAAAATTATAGGGAAATACTGATAAAACTTAAACCGTTTTCATTATTATTGTTGTTAGATAATAATAATGTAATAACAAAAGAATAATAAATAAAAATAAAATTAAATAAAAACAATGAAGAAATAGCAAGAGATGAAAAAGCAATAGAAGCCAGATATTCTTACTGAAAAAACAGATTTTTACTTTTTGTGATGGAATCTAAAAGAAATTTCTAGCAATATTCTA